CACTTAGCTATTGTGACACCTACAAGTGTATGGTCACAGTTGTAATCTGCTGGAAACATTTACTGATGTAAAAGCCTTTGGTTCATTGCGGTATTGCACTTTTAAGTTGAGGTTATGAAGATTGCGTGGCATCGCCACAAAAGACGAGTAGCTGTAAGTGCGACAGGCCATTGCAACGCTCTTACCTCAGTTGAGGAAGAGCCTGCAGACTGAACACAACTCTTGTCTCCTGTCTCTACTTTTCTGTATGAAAACTGGTTAGTAGTTTGAGTTAACTAACTGTGATGCACATATAAGAGCAAGAAACCTTTTTCTGTCTTGATTTAAAGGCCACAGCTGTTGTAGGAAAGTGTGTTTTCATAGATCAAGAGAAAGCAAACTTTCCCGCCAGTTGTAATGGGAGCCGCAATTCCACTTGTAGTGTAAAGAGGTGGTGGGTCTTACTACATATGTTTTATTTCATAGCACATGTAGCTCCGAGACATACTTTTAACCTGATGTTACAAGAAGTTTCACAGTTGATGATTTCAACATAACCTCGTTCTTAATCATTATATTGCTAAATGTAAATAGCCTGGTTTATATTGACTTTTGGGCAACTATAGAATATGTTTGTTTATTGTTTGCAAATATAGTGTTTAATCTTTTAAGGTATAAAGAGTTTATAACGGTAATAACAAGCAGGTTATTCGCAGTGCTAATATCACTGCACAGAGATATTGTTGAAGCTGGACAGCAGCAGGATTTAGTTACAGATTTATTGTAAATAAGGAGACTGATATAAGATCATTATTTTGTAGATCTATACTTGTGGAAAAAACAATGCGACCAAGTGGGTTTAACATGTGAACCTGATTGAATATGATGGTTTTTTTGTCACAAGAGGAATGACTGAAGGAAAGAGGAACGTGTGTATAAATGAACAGAAAACAATGGTATAAAATTCTGTGTAATAGAAAGACAAGGAAGAGCCTGCACAACTTATGTCTCCAGTCTCTACTTTTCTGTATAAAATAGACCCCATAGAAGGCCTATAACACTGTCATGTGATGTTGGTGTTGTGTGCTACACTTTAAAGCAGTGCAGTAAAACAACTGAACTTCATAAGATCGACACAGTTTCAAACATCAGTATCAAGGGTCCCATCCCAAGCTATTTGTTACATTCTCCCTCAAGCTGTGTATTCCTCCTTGTGTATTTCTGCATCTCCTGAGCAACTTTAATTTGTATTTTGTTATGCTCAGCAATAAAGCTTCCTTTTAATCACCTTGTTTCCCATGTCCTGCATTTTGGGTCTAACTAATCTTACCACACAGCCAACCTTTACACACAATGAGAGAGAGCAACGCTCATGGGCAATGATGATGAATCCTGATGGGGTGTGATTGGGGTAAATACCTCAATCTTTTATTGAAATGCACAATCTCAATTGTCAACCTTAATGAGGTTGCAAGGTCATGCAGTCAAAAGGTTGTGGGTGCCTATTTCATTTGATTTTAAACACTTTTTGAGGCCTAACTCATCATGATCCCAGCCTTGTTTATTTGTTTTTAGTCAATTATTCTCTCAAAACTTGGCAGTCTGGAAACAAAGAAAATAATCGATCTGATACAGAGCAAAAACTAATTTGAAAAACGTCAGTTTTGCTTCTCTCTTGAATTAAAGGTTAAGGTAAACTTAGAGTTAAGGTTATCACTTAATTTACTTTTTTGTCCATAATTGGATAGATATATTGTAGATAGACAGGAAAGTGGTGAGAGGAAGAGGAAAAGACATGCAGCAAAAGGCTGCTTGAACCCAGGCTTACTGCTCTCCGGCCATACGGCATATGGTCACCTGTTCACCCACTGAGCTAAAGCAGATCAACAAGATGACCACTTATTGTGAATGATATCACAGTATGCAACTGCTTGGCAAAGACTGTGACAGCTGGGATATGCTTGAGCACCCCCTTTGACCAGCAAGACAAGAAAATGTTAGAGATGATTGATTTTGTGATTTTGACTCACAGGTGAGCTTTTAACTGTGATTGGTTTTGAGTCATTCACCCACACAGTTGCCCATTTTACTGGACATACAGACTGTATTACGGGCCATCAGGTCAGTGGTTACAATAAACCCTCAAATGACTTCAAGTAAATATCTGCTCTTCCTTACAAAATGTTGGAGAAAAAATATATTTTCAGCTTTATTTCCTGTTTTCCTACCAGAGTATTTCCAGTTTCACATGTGGATCCTCCTTTTGATCAGACAAAAGCTTCATTCCTGAGTCTCCTGGGTGATTATAGCTCAAGTCCAGCTCTTTCAAATAGGAGGGATTGTAGCGCAGAGCTGTGGCCAGAGCGGTGAAGCCTGTTCCTGTGATCTGACAGCCTGACAACCTTAAAACACATACAACAATTTAAGGAACTGCTCTGTATTTGATCATGTACATGCAGTCAAATGAACAGATTCTGATTTCAGTTAAAGTAGTTTTAAAAAAGGCTTTTAAGGACTCTGTTTAAAAACATGGAAAAATATTACTACATTTTATTTTATACTATGATGGACAGACATAAAGTTATGTTTTTTGTTGTGTGTGTGTGTGTGTCTTTCTCTTCTACTGTGCTCTTTCACAATATAAAAAACATGTTAAAATCTATAAAATAATGACAGCTGTTGGGAAATATCCAAATCTCCTGAAACAAAGCATCAGCTAACCTGAGAGTTTCCAGCATACAGTGTGGACTCCCAAGTCCAACACAAAGCAGCTTCACTCCTGAGTCCTGGAGGTTGTTGTTACTCATGTCCAGCTCTCTCAGTCTGGAGGACTGGAAACTTAGAATTGAGGAAAGAGCTTCACAGCTTCTCTCTGTGAGGTTACAGCCACCCAACCTAGAAAGACATGGATATCAGTGAACTTTCCAAAATCTTTAAATAAACACTTTAAAGACTTATTGTGGACATTTCTAGGCAGAAAAAAGCACCAATGTCCTATTTTTTATTTATTAACATACCTAACATAAAATTAAAATATTAATACTATACTAATACTGCTCTTAGAGTCTGTCCACTTTGCAGCCACACACCATCTCCACTCCACATCAACTTCTTTGTCAATGAGACTGAGGTCACTCAAAAAGAGAAACCCAAACGGCTGAAACTGAGGTACGTCTGAGTTAACCCCCGTAAACTCTGGACCTTAAATTTTCAAGGCCTCACAGTGAAACAGCAAAGAGATGTAAAACTGAAATTAAGTCCTGAGAGATATCATTCTGTGGACCAGGTTCAACAAAGCCAGACTTTCTTTTTGTTGTTTTGCTTAACAAAATCTAAAATCCTAGTCAGAGATAACTTTAAAGTGCCCTTAAACATAATATGACACTGCCCCATATCTAATGAAGAGATTTAAAATTTTAAACATTAAATCAACTTTACTGATCTTGTATTCTGGGTATCTCAAATAAAAAAAAATGTTTAAAAAGCAGCTTCTTAAGGTCAACTATGGGTAAACACTGATTGGTCGACTCATTGATTGGTGTTCTTCAACACACCAATTTGTGTGCAAAGTGTCAACAGCAAAGTCTTTTGGCCATGTTGACCTTTGAAATAGACGCACACATAAACCTTCATAAAGTCTAAAGTGCTTCATATGGTTTGTAAACAGGAGCAGAAACAGACACACATGATGGCCAATTAGTTAATGAGTTAATTAGCCACACATGTGCTAAATATGACAATATCAAAGTCTGATAACAAAGTGCTGGATGAAAATTTTTTAGAGCTTTATAGCTGGAGTTAGCTTATCCTTCTGTTGTTGTTCTCCATTTGTTGAAGTGAATTAACATTTATTTTATTTTATTTTTTTAAAGAAGGTAGTAATAATTAAAAGATTGTCAAAAAGGCAAACTTTGTTTTTTATGCATTACTTGGAGTTTAACCTTTTGTCTGGAAAGACTTCTGAAAAAATTGGTCAGGCATAAGAACTGGACTTTCAAGACTTACAAGAACATCTGACTCCTGGGATTCGAAATGTAAAGAGATCGGCGGCTCAAGACTTTTTCATAGTATTGTAGAAGAGTGGGGGTGGTGTAAATGTGCACTGCTCTGTGGCACAGCTCTGAGGAATTTGAAAAACATTGGCAGCAGTCTCATTTAGGGATGGGTACCAGTTCTGACATAAACGGTAGTAACCAGACCGAAAAGCAGCACACATTTCGGTACTTTATTTCAGTGCTTTTTTTTCCACAGCTGTGATACACTTTAGATTCTAGCCAATCATTTTACGTTTCCGAGGATAGTAGGCGGGTCCAGGTACGTACATTCTTTTAGAGCAGAGCTACAGATTAAAAATGCCCAAGGCGAAGCGGTCAAAAGTCTGGCTGTACTTCACAGCAAAAGATGCAAACTCAGCAGCCTGCAACAAGTGCTTTAAGCTGATAAATGGCCTGTATTTATTTGTTTGATGGCAGATACTCCCTTCACCCTGGCCAAAAAGGCTAAAATGACCAAAGAAAAAGTGGAAAACAGTTAAACATGAGGTTTTTAGACAAAGTTTGTGTTTTTTCCATTGTTTAAGCACCGCTTCCAGCCAAGAGTGATGCCATAAATCCTCTATAGCTGCAGAAAAGACTAACATTGTTATCTTTTTCCAAAAAAACAGCTGAACATGAGAGGTAATCTGTAATGGGCTGCTACTTCACATTAATACAAATAATATTATTTACAAAATGTTACAGACAGGTAACGCAGTGGCAGCGCTATAATCACCACTGCAAACAAAGCCAGAGCTGCGTGGAGGCCGATCCTCTTAGAGTTCGCTGGTTTTGATGTCACTTCCACAGGTTTGTTAAAAGTTGCTGCAAAGAAATTGAACGAGCATGAGTGAAGGGATCATTCTTCAAGAAAACTTAGTGACTAATTAACGAAGTTAGTTGCTTAAGACTTAAGAGATTAAGACTAAGATCAAGCATGAATTTTAGTTTAACACACTTCATTAGTAACAGCTCTTAAATAGTCAGACCAGACTATCTGGTAACAAACGTCCCGACATGACTCTCACTTAAATTATCTTTCTCCCCCATTCTGATCCTTAGTCTTAACTTCAGCAGGTCGTCTTGATCATGTCTACATGCCTAAATGCTGGTACAATGTGATCAACTGATTAGACATTTGTATTAATAAGCAGTTAAACGGGCGTACCTAATGAAGTGGCTGAGAGTGTACATGCTAATGTGGCATTCACAGCCTGTGGTACTTTATATCATGGCCACTGGTTCAGGATGAACTTAACATGATGGCATAACCAGAGAAGAAAAATCAATGTTTGTGAGACAGAGAGAGGGTAAAGGAGTGCATGGTTGTGATAATACTGATGCTGATTTTTTTTTCTGGTGACTGAAAATATACACAAATGTATAGATTGAGTACAGTACTTTAAGTATGCAAGTCTAAATATTTGATACTACATAGTTATTGTTATGGAAACCAGCAAAAGAGTCAGTGGTGTCATCTTACCTGTAACACTGAGGTCACAGGTTTTGGAAATAACTTCTTCGTTAAGGACAACGATGCAGTGATATGTCCCCGTGTCGTTGAGCCTGAGATCAGTTAAGAGACATTCAAGTCGTCCTTTCCTGGCGAGCTGTGGGTCACACTGCAGTCGTCCTCTGTAGTTCTCATCTGGATACACCTCAGTGCCAGTCTCACTGTTATAGAAGAAAACCTGTGTCTTCCTTTTCACATTCATTAGATAGATAGATAGAACTTTATTAATCCCTCGGGTGGGTTCCTCTGGGAAATTCGATTAGGTCTATTTGCAGGAAGTCACGAGGCCTGTTGGTGTGGAAATGGAGCAGCCATGTTATTGTGATGTTACTTTTTTCCTTAGCTTGGTAGACCTCCTGTTCTTCACTCATAGTGAAGTTACTTTGACCTGCAGGAGGAAACAGACACAGAATAAATTAGGAACCATATTAAAAGGCAGAATCAGCTCATGAAACTCAGTAAGCATACTGACAATCTCAGGAGTCAGGCGTCTCTTTCTGACTGTCTTTTATGAGGAGAAGCTAATCAAAAGAAAGGTGTGTCTGTGCATTACAAGCAATAAAAGGTGTTCGTTAAAAACATCAGGTTATGGGCCCAGAGGTCGCCAAGGGAAGCTGCTAACACGTTTTCTTTTGGGAGTCATAAACAGAATTGTGGGATTCACAATGGAAGATAGACTGTTTATTGACAAGCTGAGCGGACCGGAGAATTGGGCAACGTGGAAATTTCAACTGGAGCACCTGTTGAAGGCAAAAGGACTGTGGGGTATGGTACAGGAGACGGAGCAGTTAGCTGCGGATGCTAATGCCCAAGCGCGAGCTGAATTTGAACGGAAGAAAGAAAAGGCATTTTCAGTGCTGGTACTGAATGTAAGTACACCCCAATTGTACTTGATAACAAACTGTAAGACCCCCAAAGAAGCATGGGAGATGCTAAATGCACAGTTTGAAAGAGATACTGTTGCTAACAAGCTATTTCTGAAGAAGAAGTACTTCCGGTGTGAAATGAAGGAAGGAGAACATCTCAATGATCATTTAAAGAGGATGAAGGAACTTACTGATCAGCTAGGGGCAATAGGTTCTGTAATTGAAGAGGAAGATCAAATTATCACCCTTCTAGGTAGTTTGCCACCCAGCTATGCAACTGTTGTTACTGCTTTGGAGACAAAGATGGACAGTCTGACACTACAGTTTGTTCAACAAGCCTTGATAAATGAGGAACAAAAG